AGCACACACACACAAACACACACACACACACACACAGACAGACACACACACAGACAGACAGACACACACACACACTCACTACACACATACTGCACACACACTACACGCACACACACACACACACACACACACACACTACACACATACTGCACACACACTACATGCACTACACACACACTACATGCACTACACACACACTACACACACTACACACACACTGCGCTAAGTAGATGTAACGGTATGAAAATGTCTTATCATGATTATAGTGACCAAAATTATCACGGTTATCAGTATTATCATGGTATTGTTAAAATGTGCTGGAGATGTTCAAAAAGTACCAACACATAAATCACTTCACCAAGTTTTATATTTAAAAATCAACAAACAACAAATAAAATGACTTTTTGTTTGCATAATCACTAAAACAATAACATTACCAATGATGTTCAGATTTTAAATGACAACTTGACTGACAACAGTTTAATAGCATGTTGAAATATCTAATGTAAATGTTCAAATAAAGCTTTGAAAAAGTTTCATAAAAAGGTAAACCTCACATTTCAGCCTTTAAATAAAGAAAAGATATAAGTCAAAATGATAATTGATTAATAAATGATTATCAGAATCAGAAAGAGCTTTATTGCTAAGTATGTTTGCACATACAAGGAATTTGTTACAGTGTCACAAGCGTCCAGTACACGGAGACAACAACAACACACAGATAATAAAAATAAGATGTGAATAAAATACACATGCATAAATATAAACCACAACACACATACATACATTATATGTATTTTATCTGCTCCATAAATAATTCTAGATAACTTATCTGAATTGTTTAAATGTGTAGAATCCACATAAGCTTGTTTTTCATCAACCGGTCAAAATTGACAGCAGAGCATGCAAATTCGGTCCGTTTTTGGCCAGACAGAAACTGCACACAGGCTGAATGTAAATATAAGTCTCTGTAAATCCACTCGCTGACAGCAGGTGGCGCTTATGGAAAAGCAGAATTACAGCTGTTTCCCGTAACTCCGTGAACAAAGCAGTATTGTGATTAAGAACACTTCCTTTAGGTATTACATGGAGCGAAGACGAAAACAAAATGCCATCGAATAGTTTCTGAAGACAGTCAGAACCTTCAGAGGTACATTCATATAGTCATTTGTATAATTCCCTTAGCGCTCTTTTAAAACCTCCCAGCTTTTCCGCACTGTTTTCAATCAAAACAAAACTACTCTGTGTGCTGTGCGCACGTGAGACTGTTACTTTAAACTCTAAACCTCCCAGCGTTTCCGCTCTGTTTTCACTCAAAACGAAACTACTCTGCGTGCTGTGCGCACGTGAGACTGTTACTTAAAACTCTGCTTTATGCTGGACAGTATTTATTTATCGCGAGTTGTTCAAATCGCGGTAATCGAATATAGTTTTAATGATAATTAAAAGATGAAACGGTAATACTAACCGTGGGTAATTTTATCAGGATTTATCGTCAAACCGGTAATTGTTACATCCCTACACTGCACACGTACTACACACACACACACACACACACACTGCACACACACACTACACGCACTGTAAGCGTTTTGAAAAGTGGGGACATGGGGTAATGTCCTGAAAAGTCACCCTCTCCTTGTAATACCTGTCATACCTTTGTCATTATACAAATTTATGTCCTCATTTGTCACAAAAACGCGAACACACACACACACTACAAACACTACACACACACACACACACTACACACACACACACACCCACTGCGCACACACTACATGCACTACACACACAGACCACACACTGCACAAACACTACGCGCGTACACACACTACACACTACACGCACTACACGCACACACACACACACACTGCACACACTACACACACTACACACACACTGCACAAGCACTACACACACACACACACTGCACAACACTACACACACATTGCACACACTACACACACACAGTGCACACACACTTCACACACTACACACACACTACACACACACACTGCACAAACACTACACGCACCACACACACCACACACACACACACACACTACACACACACACACACCCACTGCGCACACACTACATGCACTACACACACAGACCACACACTGCACAAACACTACGCGCGTACACACTACACACTACACGCACTACACGCACAACACACACACACACTGCACACACTACACACACACTGCACAAGCACTACACACACACACACACTGCACAACACTACACACACATTGCACACACTACACACACACACTGCACACACACTTCACACACTACACACACACTTCACACACTACACACACACTACACACACACACTGCACAAACACTACACGCACCACACACACACACACACATTGCACACACTACACAAACTGCACACACACTATACACACACTGACTGCACACACACACACACACTGCACACACACTGCACACTACACACACACTGCACACACACACACACACACACACACTGCACACATATTACACACACACACTGCACACACACTGCACACACACACACACTGCACACACATTAATGACATTATACCTGCTACACACACACGCTACACAGATAAACATTTCAACCACAACATACACAACAGTCTTATTTTACTGTCATTGAGATACTTGATATTATTATTATTTGTATTTTTATTATTTTAATATTTTTAATAAATTTTTATTTAGTATTATCTGTTATTTTAATTTTACTTAAGTTTTAGTGATTTGTTGTTTTTTTGTAACTGTTATTAGTATTTTTTATGTTAATATAGTTTTTTTTTGTAAATGTTTTTTTTTTTCAATTAATGTTTATTTTATTTCATGTAGCAAAATGTTTTCATGGTTTTATTTTAAGTAAACTACAATCATTGTTGGGTTTTTTTGTATAATTTATTATGATTCTAATATTAATATTTTCAATTAGAGTTTATTTTTATGTTTCCCGTTTCATTTTAATTTTAAAAATAAAATATTTGTAATTTTGTTGTGTTTTTGTTGTTAAAATATGTATCGATATATTTTTTATGATTTTTTTATTTTAGTTTTTCAATTTCTTTATTTTATTTCAGTTAACATTTATTTTATTTAAAGTAACACATTTTTATGGTTTTATTTTTATTAAACTATAATCAGTGTTATTTTAGTGTCACTGGGATACTATTATAGTTTTTATATTTTCAAATAGTTTTTATTTTTATGTTTTTCATTTGAATTTATTTAAGATTTTAGTCATTTTTATGTATGTTTATATAGTTTTTTATTATTTAATTAAGTTTTAGTTTTAGTTATTGTAGTACAGCAAGTTAAACTAAATTAGATTAGAAATTAGGAATGTTGCCTTGGCAACTAGCTGAAATAAAATAAGATTTTTTTCATATATATTTTAATTCATGTTTATTTTACTTCAGGCAACAGAAATGTGTTTTATGGCTTTAGTTTTAGTTTCAGTTAACTTTAATAATAACCTTTTTACACACTACATTATGAACTTACACAAAGCTCCACATGACATTAAATTCATTAGATTCTTTTATGTGATAATTGCTGGATAATTTTATGCACATGATCACATCACAGGAGGTGTATTACTAGTATCTCATCTTAATAAATATCCTAAACTGAACATCTCAGCATTGAGGGCATCAGGAACACATTCATTATGACCAGCAGATGGCAGCATGTTGAAAGGTTGATTGGTAAAAGCTTCCTATGAGAAGAGATTTCCAATTCATTTTTAATATTAAAATAAAATGATACACAGCCTAATTAAGACGCTCTGATGCTGCTGTAATGTTGTTGGTTTTGCACAATCCAAATTGTCAAATTATTGTCTGTTGAATATGCTAACATAAAAAGCTAATATGCTAGTATTCATTTCCAAACATAACCATAGTGCGGTAGTTTTCAACCGGGGGCCTCAGCAAACCTCTAAATGATTTAAAATAAGCATTAAAGTAAACTAAAACTTTTAAAAATGAAGTTATTTCTTATTTTTATACATCCTTGTTGGTCCTAGAACAACATTTTTGTCAATGAGATGTTAGAAACAAGAAAAATAATTGTTTTAGAGTTTGGATCACCCTAGCCATCCCCCAGGGTCTGAGAGTAACGCAATTTCAATTCTCTGTATGTATGTGCTGTACATGTGGAAGAATTGACAATAAAGCAGACTTGACTTGACTTGGATTGAAGCTTGAAATACATCATTTGTGATTAATTTCCTGGGAAAGTTATGCAGTTGAGTCAGTTGTTAATGAATCTTAGACACAAACAGCAGACTCTGATGTTGGATGGTCATGTAACGGCCCTTCCTATCAGGCCGAGCCCCTGTCCCTTCATGCAGAAGCAGTTCGGAGTGGTTTGGTCTCCTCTGCAGAGCGCCGCCTCAGTGCCGCACCTGCACAGGTTAGTGTTTAGCCCCGCCTCCGTCTGATCACGTGACCACTCAGACGCACTCTCACTCTGTCCAATGAAAGCACTTTCCTGTCCTGAGTCCTAAACTTCACTGCAAAACATCCCGATGCACGACGAACACCTCCACCACCATCCTGACTCAATCCTCACTGACCTTCATTTAATTTAATTATTTTTTTTTTTAGCTTGGTCAAGTTGGTCAGAAATGTTCCTCTGTGCTGCATCTGGCTCACGCTTGCTACTGAATATAAAATCAAATGCTGTTTGCAGAGTGGCACAAGGGAGATGGATGCAAAGGTTCCCTGCACTCATTCTCTTGTGTTTGTGTTTATTTCTCTCAGCTGTATATGCCGTCTCTGAGATCTCCACCAATCGCAGCCTAGTAGTATCCACATAGCAACACCATAGCAACTCCAGAACACCCTAGCAACCACATGGCAACACCCTAGAAACCCCATAACAACACCATAGCAACAGCATAGCATCACCCTAGGCATCCCTAGAGCACCCTAGTATCCACATGGCAACATCCTAGAAACCTCATAACAACACCATAGCAACAGCATAGCATCACCCTAGTATCCACATAGCAACACATGGCAAACCCCAGAACACCCTAATGACCACATAGCGACTCCAGAACACCCTAGCAACCACATGGCAACACTCTAGAAACCACATAGCAACAGCGTATCATCACCCTAGCCATCCCTAGAACACCCTAGTATCCACATAGCAACACTATAGAACCCACCAGAACACCCTAGTGACCACATAGTGACTCCAGAACACCCTAGCAACCACATGGCAACACTCTAGAAACCACATAGCAACAGCGTAGCATCACCCTAGCCATCCCTAGAACACCCTAGTATCCACATAGCAACACTATAGAACCCACCAGAACACCCTAGTGACCACATAGTGACTCCAGAACACCCTAGCAACCACATGGCAACAATCTAGAAACCACATAGCAACACTCTAGAAACCACATAGCAACAGCGTAGCATCACCCTAGTCATCCCTAGAACACTCTAGTATCCACATACCAAACCCCAGAACACCCTAGCAACTACATGTCAACACCCTAGAAACCCCATAACAACACCATAGCAACAGCATAGCATTACCCTAGGCAGCCCTAGAACACCCTAGTATCCACATGGCAACACCCTAGAAACATCATAACAACACCATAGCAACAGCATAGCATCACCCTAGTATCCACATAGCAACACATGGCAACCCCCAGAACACCCTAGTGACCACATAGCGACTCCAGAACACCCTAGCAACCACATGGCAACACTCTAGAAACCACATAGCAACACTGTAGCAACCACATAGCAGTAGCGTAGCATCACCCTAGCCATCCCTAGAACACCCTAGTATCCACATAGCAACACCATAGCAACCCCCAGAACACCCTAGTGACCAGACAACAACACTCTAGAAATCACATAGCATCACCCTAGTTGTCCAACACCCTAATATCCACATAGCAACACCACAGAAACCCCCAGAACACCCTAGTGAGCACATCATTCTGTGTTTGTGTGTGTTTCTCTCAGCTGTATGCCGTCTCTATGCGAGGTCTCCACCAATCGCAGCCTGGATAACCTGGACTGTCTGATGGGAGCGGATGAGGCGGGTCTGCAGCACTGGGATGCTGATGGGGGATTCGGTCAGCGCTGCTCTACACTGGGACGAGGCTCCACCATGGGCCAGGTCACAAACAACCCCCAGAACACCCTAGTGAGCACATAGCAACTCCAGAACATTCTAGCATCACCATAGCAAAGCCCAAAACCTCTAGCAACCATAAAGCAACACCATAGCAACCCCCTAGAACAGCCTAGTGACCAAATAGCAACTCCAGAACATTCTAGCATCACCATAGCAAAGCCCAAAACCTCTAGCAACCATAAAGCAACACCATAGCAACCCCCTAGAACAGCCTAGTGACCAAATAGCAACTCCAGAACATTCTAGCATCACCATAGCAAAGCCCAAAACCTCCTAGCAACCATAAAGCAACACCATAGCAACCCCCTAGAACAGCCTAGTGACCACATAGCAACTCCAGAACATTCTAGCATCACCATAGCAAAGCCCAAAACACCCTAGCAAACATAAACCAACACCATAGCAACCCCCTAGAACAGCCTAGTGACCACATAGCAACTCCAGAACATTCTAGCATCACCATAGCAAAGCCCAAAACACCCTAGCAAACATAAACCAACACCATAGCAACCCCCTAGAACAGCCTAGTGAGCACATAGCAACTCCAGAACATTCCAGCATCACCATAGCAAAGGCCAAAACACCCTAGCAACCATAAAGCAACACCATAGCAACCCCCTAGAACAGCCTAGTGAGCTCATAGCAACTCCAGAACATTCCAGCATCACCATAGCAAAGGCCAAAACACCCTAGCAACCATAATGCAACACCATAGCAACCCCCTAGAACAGCCTAGTGACCACATAGCAACTCCAGAACATTCTAGCATCACCATAGCAAAGCCCAAAACACCCTAGCAACACTAAAGCAACACCATAGCAACCCCCTAGAACAGCCTAGTGAGCACATAGCAACTCCAGAACATTCTAGCATCACCATAGCAAAGCCCAAAACACCCTAGCAACCATAAAGCAACACCATAGCAACCCCCGAACAGCCTGGTGAGCACATAGCAACTCCAGAACATTCCAGCAACCACATAGCAACACTGTAGCAACCACATAGCAACACTCTAGAAACCACAGCAGCAAAGCATCCTAGCAGAGAGTTTTGCTCTATCAACGCCACTCACATGTACTTCTACAGATGTTAAACCTCTTGTAAATGTGTGCGCTCTGCATCATAGAGCAAACGCTGAAATGTGTCAGAGAGGTTTTGCTGTTCACTTGACCTCAGGAACGGAGTGTTCCAGATTAAAATGCTGTAAGACATCCTTAAGATAGTCTAAGGAGACGTGGAGGGTGGGAAATCAGTTGGAGGGCATGTTTTCAGGACGAGATACTCAAACGTTCGCTCTGCTGATGGAGACATCAAGACTCCTGAAGCGAGACAAGGCTCCGAAACCTTTTCTTAAGAGGAAAGAGCATTGATCTGTTTTGCTGAATGGGATAATGTGCTGTGAAGACTGATGGATGATTCAGAAGTTGTTTCTGAGATGCTGTTGGATGCTGGGATCAAAGGGAAAGAAGTCAGGAAAAATGAGGACAGCAGCTAATTTGCAGCACTTAGCCAGACAAAAAATACTATAATGTTGTATACATATTTTACTATTTAAATAACATATCAGTATTTATTTTTTAAATATCTTAAGCAGTTCAAAACACATTATTAGACTTAAAACAGAATTAACTTTTTTCTTTTTTCCATATTATATTATATTATATTATAAATGTTTGAATATTATTTCAATTAATATTTTTTTCTACAATTTTCCCAGCTGTAGGGGAGTTTTTTGAATGAGACTTTGTGGTGAAATATGGTCTAAATTACAAGTATTTTTTATTTTTTCCACAATACAGTATTTTGTTATTTAAAAAATGACAAACAGTAATGTCATGGTCCAAAACATATTATTAGACCTAAAACAGAATTAACTTTTCTTTAAGAAAAATACATTTTCTTTTTATATTATATTATATTTGAAATAGGTTTAATTACATTGTTTGCTAGACCGATACAAAACAATACAAACAATATTATTACTTTTTTTATAATGATTTTTTATTTAACAATTTTCCCAGTTGTAAGGGAGCTTTCTGAAAAAAAAATTTTTGGGGGGGGGGGTGAAAAAATGGTCTCTAAAAAGCATTTTATACCAATTTATAAAGCAAACTCCTCATCCACAGACGAGGATCAGTACAACTGTGAAAGGAATACATTTAAGGATTTTTCTCATTTTAAGCCACATCATTTGTCGCATTAGACTGAATGGAAAGCACTCAAGCAAACCTGTCGTTTCCTCTTCATGTCCGCACGACCATGCGTCAGTCCACCCTAAAGCGCCGGCCGCATCTCAGCCCGTGCGCCGGCCTCGTGTGGGACGTTTCAACCTGCACGTGTCCTTTCAGGTGGAGCAGGGCTACCGGAGCAGCGCGGCGTACCGTCAGCTGGACTCTCAGGCGCTGGAGGCATTGGATCTGCCCACACCCACCTGCTTCCGCTCCCGGAGCCACAGTTACCTGCGCGCCATCCAGGCCGGCTGCTCTCAAGACGACGATACGGGCTCCGTGGACTCCGACGAGACGCCACCTATAACCTCATCCATCAGCAGCTACAGCAGCGCCACCGGTGAGTAATAAACAAGCACACATTCATACAGGATCACATTCATGGACCTGCTGCTTACCGTAAAAACTACAGCAAAGTCAACAGAAAATACTGATTACATTTTGTGTAAAGAAAGTCAAGCCTGTTTTATGACCGTTAAGATTGTTTCCATTGTAACATTATTTTCGTGACAGCAATGCACTTTTCTTCCTTAAATTCTCATTAAGTAAATATCCATACCGTATTATGAATCATTTACACCAGCATAAAAGAAAAGCCAGACAAAACTAATAATATCATGATATATAAGTATTTTACTATTTAAATTACATTTTTTTAAAACATCATAAATCATAAATGTCTTAATTTTTCTTTGAGTTAAATATATTTTATTTATTTTTGGGAGGCGGTGAAATATAAGCTTGCATTCATAGCATTCATCATAAGACAGTTTTTTCACTTTTACAGTACCGTTCAGAAGTTTGAGGAAGTTTTTTTTTTTGGAGAGAAATTAATAATTATTTTTTTTTCAGCAAGGATGCACAAAATCGAAAGTTTAAGATTGTTTCCATTGTAACATTATTTTCGTGACAGCAATGCACTTTTCTTCCTTAAATTCTCATTAAGTAAATATCCATACCGTATTATGAATCATTTACACCAGCATAAAAGAAAAGCCAGACAAAACTAATAATATCATGATATATAAGTATTTTACTATTTAAATTACATTTTTTTAAAACATCATAAATCATAAATGTCTTAATTTTTCTTTGAGTTAAATATATTTTATTTATTTTTGGGAGGCGGTGAAATATAAGCTTGCATTCATAGCATTCATCATAAGACAGTTTTTTCACTTTTACAGTACCGTTCAGAAGTTTGAGGAAGTTTTTTTTTTTGGAGAGAAATTAATAATTATTTTTTTTTCAGCAAGGATGCACAAAATCGAAAGTGACAGTAAAGACATTTATAATGTTACAAATGATTTCTATTTCAAACAAATGCTGTTCTTTCGGACTTTCTATTCATCAAAGAATCCTAAAAAGAAAAAAAACGAAATGTATCAGTTTCCACAAAAAATTTCGGCAGCACAACTGTTTTCAACATTGATAATAATCAGATATATTTCTGGAGCATCAAATCAGCATATTAGAATGATTTCTGAAGATCATGTGACACTGAAGACTGGAGTAATGATGCTGAAAATTCAGCTTTGATCACAGAAATAAATTATAGTTTACAATATATTCACATAGAAAACAGTTATTTAAATTTGTAATAATATTTCACAATTTTTTTATTTTAGGTTTAATGAAATAAATGCAGCTTTGGTGAACAGAAGAGACTTCTGTCAAAAATCATACTGACTCCAAACTTTGAAATGGTACTGTATGTTGTCATTTGTGGTTTATGACTGTGCATTTACAGTAAAATATTTTATTACATGAGAAACTGAAAAAAGGCAGTGAATGATTGATGCATTTGATATTACTGTATAATCACTGAACACTTTAAAGTAATGATGCCGACCACTGAAAAAAAAATTGACCTGGCTGTCATGTATCACAGGGATAGCGCTGAATTTGCACATGCAAAAAACAAAAGTGTTCATAAAGTAGACAAAGTCCACGATATGCAAGATAATAACATCCTGATAAGCACAGGTCTCACGGACTTTTCACTGATCATCATGTCATTTTATTGCCTCCAGAGGTGATGTCAGTGCAATCAAACAGGCCTTGTTTTTCTTTCTCAGTAATAAAGACTTTAGTGTGAAGTCGGATCTCTTTTGCTTTGAGAGGTCGGCATGTGGGCAAGTCCAGACAGATGATCTGGAGTCATGCGAGGGTAAAAACAGCCACTAGTCCATGACGACTGTCTCATGATGGTCCTCTTAAAGGGATAGTTCACCTCAAAAATAAAGATTCTCTCATCATCTACTCACCAATTTCATCTCAGAAGGCTTATGTAGAAGCACATGAGGCGTATGGTCTACTTTGGTCCATTTTGGAGACAAACATAATCAGGCTTTTGGAAGGATTTGGTCCTTTTTCACTTAGTTCATTTGGTCAAGATTATGGAAGCTTGTTTCCTCAACGGAATCAAAAATAAAGATAATTAAGACTTTTTATCTCATAGTTCTGACATTTTTTCTTGCAATTCAGAACGGCAAGATATGAACTCACAAATGTGAGATATGAATTTGCAAATCTGAGAAGGAAAGTCTAAATTGTGAGATACAAACTCAGAATTGCAAATTGCAAAAAAAAAAAAAAAATTGTAAAAAAAAAAAAAATTTAACTCAGACATCAGGAAAAAATAGTATGCACTGCAAGATGTAAACTCAGAAATCTGAAGAAAAAATGTAATTGCAAGATGTAAACTCTGAAATCTGAAGAAAAAATTTAATTGCAAGATGTAAACTCTGAAATATGAGAAATAATAGAATTGTGAGATGTAAACTCAGAAATTTGAGAAAAAATTGAATTGTGAGAAAAATACAGAATTTCAAGACGTAAACTAAGAAACCTGAGAAAAAAAATTGCGAGATGTCAACTCAGAGTATATAGGAAAACAGAATTGTGAGAAAAAATGAGAATAATGAAATGTAAACTCAGAATAAATAGAAAAATATCAGAATTGCAAGTAAAAAATAAAAATTGCGAAATGTAAACTCAGAATACAGAAAAAAATCTGAATTGCGAGAAACAAATGAGAATAGCGAAACGTAAAATCAGAATACAGTGAAAAAAAATTGAGAAAAAAATGAATTGCAAGATGTAAACTCAGAAATCTGAAGAAAAAATTGTCAAAATTGCGAGATTTAGAATCATAAATCTGAAAAAAGTCAAAATTGAGATGTAAACTCAGAAATCTGAGCAATAATAGAATTGCGAGAAAAAAAATTGAATAATGAAATGTAAACTCAGAATAAATAGAAAAATATCAGAATTGCAAGTAAAAAATTAAAATTGCGAAATGTAAACTCAGAATACAGCAAAAATCTGAATTGCGAGAAACAAATGAGAATAGCGAAACGTAAAATCAGAATACAGTGAAAAAAATAGAATTGCAAGATGTAAACTTTTGTGGGTTCACAATTGTGGGTTTATACCTTGCATTTCTGAGAAAAAGAGTCAACTCGCAATTCTGAGTTTATAACTCGCAGTTGTGAGACATAAACTCACAACCCTGAGGAAAAAGTTAGAATTGTGAGACGTAAACTTGCAATTGAGAGAAAAAAGTCTGAATTGTGAGATTTATAACTTGTAGTTCTGAGGAAAAAAGTCAGAATTGATGTAAACTTTTGCCCGTGGCAGAAACAAGCTTCCATACAAGATCCATTAGGCTGCTGCAGTCAGATCGTTTATAACGTCTCAAATGGCCACTGCAAAGATGTCCCACTCTCTCTCACACACACAAAATCTTCTGACCTACATTAGTGCTGGTGGTGTCCTGCGGAGATGAGTCCTTCAGCTTAACGGCTAATGTTTCTCGGCCCATCATGACCGACTCTGGCAAAACTTCCACTGCAAATTAACCGGTTTTCAGAGGAATTAACCGACATCAAGCAGATTAGTTTGGCACAACGCTTAATAAGCCAGCAGCCAGTGGACCGTTCTGATTTTGCTGTTGATCTACTTTATTTGTATCGCATTTTACTGTATTTTGATAGGTCTTATAATTTGAAAGGCGAACATAGTCCAGATTGATTCAGTCGGACAACATTCCCATAATTTCTTGATGATCTTGAAACGTGTTGATAAGGTTGAAAACTTGTGTGTGTACAAAGCACGGTTGTACGCTCAGAATAGCAAATAATGAAATCTAGTCTATTTGTGGAGAGGAATCTGACTAATGCTATTTAGTTTAGGTAGCAAGCTGTCAAGAAAAAACAAATCTTGGCCATCTGTTTACCATTTCTGTAAAAAACAAAATGCTATTTTTTGCCTGTTCCATGACTATATTTGGCATTGCAAATAATGAAATCTAGTCTATTTGTGGAGAGGAATCTGACTAATGCTATTTAGTTTAGGTAGCAAGCTGTCAAGAAAAAACAAATCTTGGCCATCTGTTTACCATTTCTGTAAAAAACAAAAACCCTGTGCTATTTTTTACCTGTTCCATGACTATATTTGGCATAGCATACTTTCTTACTCTTATACTATGCTTATTGTGCACAGCAGTCCGATTGTGTTTTTTTCAGTATATGCATACAACTATATTTGATAAAATAAGCAGCTTATTAAATGAAAAACTGTATCCCAGAATGCAATGCGCTTGACTTGACCTTCTATTCCCGGCGTGATGAATCACTCGGAAGTAATATCGGCATCAGTCCCTTTCATTTGATCAGAGTGTTAGACATGTTTACACAAAATTGGATATTTTGCTAAATTATAGCTAAACATGTAGTGAGGTCATGTGACCACAATTTAGCAAAATACTGTTTATGGTAGAATAATGCATACTGTTTCACTTAGTAAGCAGTATATTAAACAGCATTCAGTAATAAGCTGTTTTAGTAACATTTAGTAATTTTACTGAATAATGTCGCTACTTTTGCAAGGCTTGGAGCTATCAATTAAATCAAATTAGTGCTGTCAAACGATTAATCGCATCCAAAATCAAAGTTTTTGTTTATGTGAACGAAAGGCTGAATCCTCCGGAGGTCGCATTTGAATAGAATAATGGTCAAATTTATAACTGTTAATATTCTAAAATAAGATCTTCTTTATGAAGTGTGCAGCCTACAAATGCGACCTCTGGAGGATGCAGCCTTCTGTTTGAGAAACGGCCAATATATGTGTGTGTACTGTGTATATTTCAAGAGTTCAGATGCAAAAGCCTCTGAGTGCCATCTGAAATTTTCATCTAAAATGACCATTTTTATCAGGCTTCTATATTTATGTTCAGTTCTTTCACTTTAGTGGCATAGAAAAGGACCTATACATTGCCATTAAAGCAAAATTACTGAACCTAAACACAGAAACCTGATAAAAATGCTAATTTTAGAA